GACCCCCCCCCCCCCGTGCCGCGGGGGGTCCAAAAAACAACACCCCATCTTAAAAAAAACAAACGGCACCCCAAAAAAAAATAAAAATTCCCAACCGCCCCCCCCCCCCCCCCCCCCCCCCCCACAAGCTGTTTTGCACAAAACCGATCAGTCAATCATGATATGCTGATTGAAACAATTTTTTTTGGCGCTATTCTGTATAAATATTGTTAAAAATAAATAACCTGTTATTTGCAAAATTACGCAAAAGAAACGTTGAATCATCACGATGACTCATTGTTGAAAACACACGGATCGTATTCTTGCGTTGTTAAGCAAAAAGTTGCTTTGGAAAATACGGCAGAAAATTCTGCATGCGTTGTGACGCAGAATCACGCAAAACTTTGTGTACACAAAAAGTTGTATTTATTTTGCTCGTGTAACCATATTGTGCGTTGCACCGCTTAGGTTTTTACATGCGTTTTTCTGCGTTATATATGAAAAACTTTTTGAAAATTTCTACATGGGATGTAACCTTGAGAATATATCGCTATATCCATCGTTTTCTTTTTTTATAAACCTGTCATAACATTCCATTAATCCCCTATTAGAATCACAAAAGAAAATATATGATTGTCGAATAAAAAGAGGTTTTAGACAATGTTTAATAAGTACCATAATATTAAAGAAAATAATTGAATAACAGATATATAACAAAATATTTGTTTTGAGGGAAAAAAGCAAGTGCCATCAAATTCAATAACTGCTTATTGTGTACCGAAAACATGAAAATATTGTTAGCAACAGCAATATTATTTTCCTATTTGTTAGGAACTTATGGTAAGTATCATAAACGAACATCGTCATACTGCACCTGGATCGCATTCTTTGAAATTTCCACTACGCAACGTTTGATTGCTATATCTCATACTTAGGAAGAAAAAAAGGAAGAATATCGCGCTTTAGCCTTATAGGTAAGCGTTTCTGCTCGAAATACTGCATCGAGAGCATTCGTGTTTCGTTGTGCCAGGTTCTAGAAAACGTAAACTGTAGAAGACCGATCACTAGTACTAGTAAAACTTTTCATAACTCATGAAAATATATTTGTGTTGAAAAATCATGGTTCTATGATAAGCAATTCTTCAAATACCGGAGAATGTGAGTAAGTTGTAATCGTATGAGAATATTGTCTCATTGGAGTAAAACTAGGCTCAGCAGTCGGAGAAAAAATCCAGTACGTGTCGTAACTGAACGTACGATGAGTAATATTTTTGTGCAGACACTTTCTTTGGAAAGAAGCAAAGAAACTCTTCTTCTAACGCGCCAATTAATCACACACGGACGTTCCTGTCTGTTTTATATTTTTCGACTAGATGAGTCTTTCCTTTTAACATCAGCAGAAGGAGATTAAAGCGTTCGCTTATTAACAACAACGGCAGACGATGGTAGTTTCAAGAACGAGAAGTGGCAACTGTGTAGAGCCGAAAAAAAAACGGGAGGAACACGATGACACGGATGGTCAAGGGTGCCCTGAACATCTCTACAGGCGTACACACACAATGATTTTTCAACGCAATGACTCAAAGTCAGATCGTAGGTACCTAACCGTGCAAAAATAAGCTAGTAGCGCTTGATGCAACTAGCTATACAAAAATTTAAAAATATTGAAGCTAGGCAGCGAGCTCTGCAGCTAGGTACGCTAGTTTCAACGCCCGTTGCAGCTAGCTGCATAAACGTACACATGAAACGGGCGCTTAAGCTAGTGACGAATTGGGTAACACGAGCTGCAACTAGTTGAAGCTATTTGGAAATCGCATACGGTAACTCGGTTTTCCATGACGAAAGCATTTCCCAGAGTTGCAGTTAGAGGGAATAGTATGTAAAATTTAATTACCAACACTTTGTTCTTAATATAAATTTGGGAAAAGCTTTCTTCAGGGCGAAAATGCGATCTTTTTCAGTATTTTTGATTATTCATTGTGAAGGAAGCTATTCCGAACATTGTACGTGGGGAGAAAAGTATTGGAAACGGACTTTTCTGTATTATTGTCTCGAGAGTCAACTCTGAGAAATGCTTCTTTCATGGTGAATAATCCTAATTACAGTAACCTAATAAAGTTCTTGAAGTTCAGTTCACTAGTTCATCAGAATAGAACGATAAACATACATACATTTTTAGTGGTGTGTTTCTTTGGTGCAGTGGCGTACAAAGAAGATTATTAATCTCTATATACAGAGTTCGAATCTCTGCAGAAAGTTCTTTTTCGTTTTTCTTTTTTCCCTTTCATTTTTTTCATTCGGTATAAATATACCCGCTCACAGTGGGCAATCACGTGGACATTAGATGAAAAAAATGGAACCACACGTTTTCGAGATTCAAATAGTGGCAAATATACTTCGGATGACGGGCTGTTTAATGGTAAAAATTGTTTATGTGATCTGCCGTTGTTAGTGAGAAAACACTTAACGAAAATTTAGTGCTGAAACGCAGCTCCTCAGAAAAGCGGTTCGGCGGCACACACATGAACAAATATTATGTTAAAAATCGTCCGTAATCTCCAACTAGACCTGTCACTGTATGGATTCATAAAAAAAGTTTTGTTTTAATCATTTCAGTTAAAGAAAAAGATTTTCTTTCTGCGCTTAGCCCATTCCCAAGCGGATAGTTTCAGTAAAATGAGCCTCCCTCCACATCCCAACTCGAAACTCGTTCAGACTTTCACAGAATGTTCTTCTACATGTCCTTCAACTGTGATGAATGCATAAACATGCATAAATGCACCTGTAACGTACAGCAGGTTTTTTAAGTACCTATGGTGTTCTAAATATTTTCTATTTTTCTCGGCTCAGAAAAACTTTTATTTAAAACTAATGTGGTATTTGGAATCAGCATCAAAACTGCATCAAACGATGTATAATTTAAAACATTTTTCTACAGAAAAGTTTTCGATTAAACTGAACTGTAGCGTAGAAGCATGACCGCAGCAAATTTTGCGTGGGTATTTGTATATTCGTTTTAGCAGTGGAACGAAAGTCTATAAACACATGTTTTATAGATTTTTGAATATGCTCTTTCCAATGGTGAGATTTTTGACATCTAAAAATATTATTATAGGTTTTCTAGAGATCCAATCTTCCGAAAATCCAGAAACAAATATTTTTGGATTTCGAAAATCTCACCATAGGAAAGAGCATATTCGAAAACCTATAAAATACGTGTTTATAGAGTTTCGTATCGCTAGCATATGTCCACGTGTCTAGTCAAAATTGCCTACTGTACCGTTACAACTAATACTGAAACGGGTTAGCGGGTTTGTCCTGCTGCAGCTACCTGAACCCGTATATTTTAGTCTTTTAGCTAGCTGCAGTCAATGGAGAAGCGGGCGCTTCTTTAGCAAGTGCAGCTAGCTTATTTCTGATGAAATTTCACGCTAGGCAAGGTGAACGATAACGTTAATTTATTACTGATAACGTTAAATCGAAGTTTACCGCGTTAAAATTTTGGGATTTTTGAAATTACTGTGGTAAAAATCGGAAGTAGTTAGGAAAATGTCGGTAACTGTAACAAGTTCTTATCGTTACCGCTCATCCGTAAACATACCCGAATCGATTATTAGAGACGAAAACATAGTGAGAGAGATAAAATTATGAGCAAGTAAAAGGAGATTATTTCAACAGATAACAGTAAAATAAAGTGAGAGATATGAATATTAAAAAATTTAACTTTCGAGACTTCTCAGGTTTCTTTCAATATTGAATTTGTATTGAGACAAAATATCCACGAGTAATGAGTTAAATATTTTCTTTTGAACTATATTTAGAATCTCTTACATTTTTTATACTTGAAAATGGCATTTTTCCCAGAAAAAAAATCGAAAATTTTGTTTTCATCGAAATGTCTGAGAGCAGGACAGTTGAGTGGATGTATCAAAACGATACTGAATAGTAGAGAAATTCTTATAATATATAATACAGACTTAATTAATCATTTCCTTTTATTAAACGTTTAAATTGATTTAGCCACAAATAAAACCCATCGTTCTGGTCCTCATATTTTAGCTAAAATCGAAGCGAATCAAATGAATTGTTCCATTTATGATAGTGCTGAAGAAGTTGTTAATTCTCAACCATTTTATGTTCATATTTACAAAGGACCTTTATCTAGTGTGACCACAGTCCATTACGAAAATAAAAATCCAGATAAATTATGGCTTATTGAAAACAGAAAAGAGGCTATAGATATCTTTTGTTTAACATCCTTGCGATCACTCACATTATCTAATTCAAATATTCAATTTACACCGGATATTCAATATTTAAAAAATTTAAACGAATTAATAATTAGAAACGATAATGGACGTATTGGTGAATATTTTCCTGTGGAATTTGATCAATTACCCTTAAGTCATATGAACTTATCGAATTTATTATCGTTAAAAGCATTACCCGATGGATTTGGTAGAAAATTAGAAATTTTAATGTTATCAAAAATACCAAATCTTGAATATTTACCAGAAAATTTATTTAGCTTAAAATCATTATTTATTGAACAATGTCCTAAATTAACTTATTTGCCATCAACAATTGTAGCTGCATCCAATTTACGTGAGCTAACAATCACACGATCAGGTTTATTAAATATTGAATTAAACAATTTTCAAGAGTTCAGCTATGTGACTTTCTCATCCAATCCCAATCTTACATTAGTTTCTTTGATTAATATGAATATACATGGCAATGTGGATTTATCTAAGAATGATCAATTATCAGTTGTTATAATTAGAAATTTTACACGACTTTCATTAAATATAAACTCTTTGCCTAGTTTACAAGTTTTAATGTTAGAAGATATATCCTCATTATTGTCATTAGATTTATCTAAGAATCCAAGTTTAACTGATATGACATTTAATAATATAAAAGATTTATTGAGTTTAGATATGAGCCAATGTCAATTGTTTGAATTTCCCATGGAAATTTTAAAATTTGGATCTTCGTTACAACAATTAGATTTAAGTGGCAATAAATTATCATCATTACCAGATATATTTTCATCAATGCTTTCTGGTTTAAAAAGATTATATTTAAGCGGCAACCGACTGAATAATTTAGCTATAACAACACCATTGTTTCATTTGGAAGAATTAAAATTAAATAATAATACGTTAAGATCCTTGAGTGGTATTCACAAACATACAGCATTACGGTACTTAATACTAGATCATAATTATATTGAAGAAATTCCATTAGAAATGATAAAATTACAGGAGTTAGTAACCTTAAGTATTTCAAATAATCGACTGAGAACAATTCCATATCGTATAACTAATCTTCGAAAGTTGACATCCATCAATATCAAGCTTAATCCATATATGAGCCGAGATGAATCACTGACAATTAAAGCTGAATTCATGTTAATACGTCCATCGATTCGATTTGACAGTGATTATTGATAATCATGGAACGTAGTGATGAATATCAGTAGTTAGTTGTGATTTTTATTTTGTTGTTACTACAATAAACACTTTTATGTAACAAAAACAAGTAAAAATAAAAACTAACGTGAGACTAAAATACATAGAAAAAGTTATGCAGAGTTGAGAGAGAGCGTGAGTATCAGAAACACGTGAAAAATTCTCTATTTGCTCAAACTTATATTATTAAGTTTCTTTGTCGCGTTAACATATGAATTTTTGGTATTTCTTCTCTGCTTCCGAGTAAATTGTTAATTAGTGACAGGACTGCAGAAGATAGGCAAAAGTTCTCTCAATTTATAGTTAAAGTTGTAAACGATGTGAGAGTACTTCCATTTAGTTTTATCTTTGTATTACGTGACTGAGGAGCCGCTAAGTGTGATCGTATGGAGTTCCTAGCTCTGTTGAAGAGAAGCAAAGCTGCTTAGATGGTTGAAAAAAAAACATTTAGAACATGGTTTCTTACTGGACAAAAGCCTCGACGTGACACCTCCTTTGACACCGTTTTTCTTTGAAATGAAATGATCAAAAGGTTCACTCATAAACAATTAATTTTCCTTTCAGAAAAACGAGTTATAATCGGACCTAATTTCGCTCTTCTGATCTTCTGATTTTGTGATTTTAATTTTTTGAAGTTTTAGCAGGAGCTGTCACAACAGGGTGGTTGATATGCATTCTGTAATTTGTTTTGTTTTCTTAAAATACAGGCTAACTTAAACAACTTAGAAAGTCAGAAGATCCGAAAGTCACAAAATTATGTAACTCAGTACTTATCTTTTGACTCTTGGAACATAGGTCTAAGCGTAAAACGACTCTCGGAATAAATTCTGTACTTGGATGTGGCGGGATCAGTTATTTTTGGTATCATTGTTAAAATACGCATTTGAATCAAATAGAAATAAAAGTAAATGACACTAACTCATAGTTAAGAAGACCGCTTTTTTGGAAATATGGAACGGACCGAGCCATTTGGGCGCAAGTTGGGGAACTGCCCACTTTTCTCATACGCTACCTGATGTATTTGCACCAAATCTCCTACCTTAAATTCCATTTTCTTACGATGCATATCGTAAAAAATTTTCTGGTTTTGTTGCACGATGTCAAGACTGTCTTGCGCAGACTTATGTGCTGAAGATAGCGCAGCACATAAACGATCAGTATACGCTCGCATCTCAGTCGAATTCTTCAAGTCGTCGGTTGTTTCGATCGCAGACCCGTATCAAAGATCCATTGGGAGTCTAAACTCACTATCATAAAGTAGAAAAGATGGGCTTTCCCCGATGATTCGTTTAAACCGGTGCGAATGGTAAAAGCGAGTTGCGGAAGTAGTACATCCTATGAGTCTTTTTCGTTCTCAGCGAATATTCCCATCATCGGCTTTAAAATACTTATAAAAAAGACTTATCCTCTCTGACAAATTAGACTGTGGATCGTATAGAGCGGCAGTGCGATGTCGAATGTCTAATATTTTTAAAATTTCTTTAAAACTTTTGGCTACGAACTGAGCTCCGTTACCAGAAAGGATTTTAACCGGTACTCCAACACGACAGATGACTTCATCATGCAATAATTTTGCGATATTTTTCGCTTTTATGTCTTCAAAAAGGTGGGAATTAAAATTGTTTTTCAGAGGAGAGTTTTAGTCAGAGCTCTGATCGATAGCTACCAGTTTTCGAGGAAGAATCATAACAACGAAAATACACCAACAAATCTAGCGACTTATTGGCTCTTAGCCACATACTTCATAAAAATTCCTCCTTTTCATGCTGCACAGATTAACGTGGAACCTCACTTACCATTCTCTACCCTTCGGTATGTTTAGACAATTAATGATCCATTTACGAGCATTTCTCAGTGATTTTACCGCCATTCGGCAATTGGATACAGCGACATTACCGCGAACGACATTACCGCGAACGACAACACCGCGAACGACATTACCGCGAACACAAAAAACGACATTACCGCGAATACAGAGAACGACATTACCGCGAAGACTTGTTTGTTGGAAAAGCCGAATAAATGAGGCCGGTTTTGTATTTTGTACATCATGTTTTCAAACTTAACTGACGTTA